GACAGCGCGATGCTGTTAGTGAGTTCTTCACTTCTTGTGTGCCTATCATTACTTGGCTGTGTAGCCGCGTGATGCGGTTCCAGTCGAGACCCACAAATTGGCCCTTGCTCACCATAGAGTCTCCAGTAGCTCAAGTGGTTAGAGCATCCGACTAGATCACGGAGGGTCGTGGGTTCAAATCCCATCTGGGACTCGGATTTTTTTTCCGAGTCCTCCTCAAATTAATATCATGTTTTTGGAGAATTTACCATGAAATATAACTTTGACTTGAAATATAACCTAACTGTCATCAGCAGCGTCGCGCGTTCAGAAGAAATGCTTCACCCTGGCTTCGCTAAAGAGTAATTTTAATCCATCTGCTTATCAAAGGCCAGCTTACTTTGAACGTGTTGTAACTCTTCATAAACACTCTTAATTCTCCGTCGCCATCGTAGTTCAGTAAGGGAGGCAGCCGTGAAAACGGGTTAGTCACTCTGGTTTCGCTCAGAGGAATATCAATCAATCGGCTTATCAACGGCCAGCTTACTGAACTCTCCACAAATGAACATTGTACTCAGTCGGCATGGTAGCTCACGAGAAGGAAGTCCGCGGAAACTGGTTCTACTGAAATCGGCCTAAAAGATCAAACTCTTGCAAAATCCTTGGACTCAAAACAAAACCAAAAGGGACAACAAATGGATTCCTTGCACCTCATACTTTGCCTTTTAAACGTATTGCCTTAAGTTTCTTCACCACGTAACCTTTTCACTGTGTTAAAACCTAACAACGTTTAAATCGTCATGCTGCAAAGGTTTTGTTGAAATTGACCTTAACTGATATGAGATACTTATGTCATAGTTACATTTTAAATGTTGGTGAAGCTAAGCAAAATAACACACTCATATTTAACGTTAACATATAAGAGGTTTCACATGAACCCTTCTCTCACTGAAAAGCGTAAGTGGAATTCATACCCTAATAAAACATTTAAAACATCTAAAGTGTACGAGATTATTTTTAATAAAAGGTGGGGGAAAGTGTGACAAAAAACTTCCCTGAAACTGTTCACGTTTAGAACCCTTAAGATTTTTTGGTTTAATCGTTTTCGTCGCAAAAAACATACATGTATGTATTGTTAAATCCCTTTGGTATTTTGTATTGTTCTGCAGTGTTTTTTATGTTATTTTTATTTCATTAAGCAACATTTCATCAAGGATAATAATGAAAAGAAAAAGCGACGGCCGTGGAAACGAAACCACTCTTTACCTCCGTCTAAAGACATGCCGAAAATTTCCCCAGAAGCGAGAACATCACACTTTAACTAGCCTGCGAGGTAGCTCTCTATTTTGGGGGAGTCGCGAAAGGTCACGCGAAAGCAGCACGCGTAAGGTGACGCGAGTGCGAGGGGCGGAGTGAGAGGCGCGTTCTCCCGCGCCTAGCTTTTCTTTCTAGCAGGCTAAACTTTAACAGCTGTCCTTCGCGGTATTCATTGTCATGACAATTTCGATCGATCGTGGAACCTTAACGCTTTTCGCAGTTTACAAGCTTTATTGATTACTGATACTATATTTTCAGTTCAATTCTGACCTAGAAAGGTCTGAAATAGCTTCCAACAGGATCCTGAAGCAGAGAGGGAATCCGTGAAAAAAAAAACACGTTCTCACCTAAATATGAATTGTTGGCGCTAGTTTTCCTATTGACAACCACGATTCCAAAGCTCTTATTTCATTGGTCCCTATAATCTGCACTACCTATTGTTTTTAGGGATAGGGGCATTGTTATGTCACCACCCATAGTGTTTTCGGAGCCGATCATAAACCTTGTTCCCAGTTTCAGAGCAGAATTAGAATTGGGTAGCAAATGAATTTCATCTCAACAACCACAACAACAACGATAACAACAAAAGAAATAGTTCTTAAGTCCGCGTGCGTTTACTGGTTGGCTGCAAAGCCAACGAAAAATTGTCCACTAATACTTTATGTCGTCGATATTTAACAAATTGCAAATACAACACATGTTAATGAAAAAGTTAGGGAACCATATGATATGTAAATTAAACAGCTGAAATTTTCCGAGCTGGTTATTTAAAACCTACTGTTAACTAAATATCATTTTTAGGACGTGTCGAAAATATACAAAATTTCACCACCTTTAAAGAGACGAAACACTTTGTAACTCTTTCAATAGCGACTGTGAAGCCCTTATGTTAACGTCAAAAACTAGAAGTCTTTAATTTTGAAATATAAGGTTATTAAGCCTTAACATATTCATCAAAATTAAATGGGCTAAAAGACTAATGAGGAAGAGTTTTTTTGTAATATTTCAATCGACCGCTTTTAGTCCCAACTAATAAGCAACATGTCATTTTGCAGTAAATTTTAATGAATATGACGTTCTTTTAAAATACAGCATCTGGAGCATACACAAGGGCGAAGGACAGTTTAGTCCTTTTTCGCACTTCGCTCGTTCCGATGCAATATAGCCATATAGTGGCCCCAATAAAGAAAAAACACTTCAAATATGGCTTAACTGTCAAAGGCGGGAAAAATGGTGGGGCAAGTTTCCCGTGTTTCAGTTGAAGTTACTGTAAACAGAACTTCCTGTTTTTAAATTGGTATGAAGCTAATAAAAACACATAACGCCTTTATAATTTGTCTTGAAAATAACCAAGAGATCTATTCTCACACTTAGACCAGCAATACTTAACGATCAGTTCCTGCGTCATCGTGTTCAGATGAAATGTTTCATAGTGGCCCAGTTAAAAAGGAATTTAGTCAAAGTACTCACCAAATGCTAACCTATTGAAGGTCGTGGGGTTCTAAAGATAAGTCAATCCGCTACGAAGCTCTGGTAGAAGAAGTCCATGAAACTGATTCTACTGAATTCATAAAACACCAACTTCTTGTACCATCTGATAGGCCTTTAACTGGCTTCAGCACAAATCCAAGACAAATGGATTCCTCGTATCTCGTAGTTGGCCTTTTAAATGCATTTTTATCCTACACCGCCACCATGCTAAACATTGTTACAATCCACGCCATAAGAAAAACTCCGTCCTTGTCAACGAATTTAAAAACATTGCTCCTTAGTCTGGCTGTTTCTGATCTTGGTGTTGGTTTAGTGGTGCAACTTTTGTATGTGGCACTTCGTATTATGGAGTCGAAGCTAAACATTGAAACTGGCAAAACGTATCATGCCATCTATATCGCGTTTCTTCTTCCGGCGAATTTATTTATTTCCGCTACGCTGTTTCTCGTCATTGTTCTTTGTGCAGAGAGATTTATAGCCATTCATTATTACCTTAGATATCAAGAACTTGTGACACACAAGCGAGTTGTTGCTGTTGTCGTCTCAATTTGGGTATTAAGCGGGCTGTTTTCGTTGATGAGGCTGTGGATTTCAAAGAGTATTATGTACGTGGTTTTTGGCATTACAGAACTTGCATGTATCATAGCTGCCACTTTCTTCAGTGTCAGAATTTACTCGTCCGCGCGACTTCACGTGAACGAAATACAAGTGCTGCAGCTACAACATGCAACACAGAACGCTCAAATGGTTAACGTTCGAAGGATACGAAAGTTTGCCATGATGTCAGTTTACGTTTGCCTCGTTTTAACAGTTTGCTATCTGCCAAACATTTGTACACTCTTTGCTATTGTCTTCACTTCTAGACCAAGCACTGGCATAAACTATTTACAGATGTACGCTCTGACACTGGTTTTCCTTAATTCGTCGCTTAATCCTGTGATCTGCTGCTGGAAGATGAAACACATCCGACACACGATCATTGGCTTTATACGAAATGCATTTACGAAGCAAAACTAAAGAGAGCTTCAAAACAATCCATCTGGAAATAATAAACGATATGAAAGAACGACAACAACAACAACAAAAAACAATAACAAATGTTATGTTAAACCTACAATAAAAAAAGATGTAGCAGAATAAGGATAAAAATGAACAATAGAGATTGTTGTAGTTCTCGTTAGAATCAATGATTTAACATTTAAAACAATTTGTCTCACTGTTCTTTTGAAATAGATCTTACCTGAGATGATATACTTATGTCATTATTGCATTTTAAATGTTGTTGAAGCTAAGCAAAATAACACACTGATAGTTAACGTTAACATATAAGAGGTTTCATACGAACCCTTTTGTCACTGAAAAGCATAAGTCGAATTCATACCCCAATAATACATTTAAAACATTTAAAGTGTACGAGATTATTCTTAATAAAAGGTGGGGGAAAGTATGATAAAAAACTTCCCTGAAACTGTTCCCGTTTAGAACCCTTAAGATTTTATGGTTTAACTGTTTTCGTCTCAAGAAACATATGTATTGTCAAATTCCTTTTGGTGTTCTGCAGTGTTTTTATTGTTATTTTGATTTCAGTAAACAACATTTCACCAAGGATAATAATGAAAAGAAAAAGCCAAAGCCGTAGATACAAAACCACCCTTTAGCTCCGTCTAAAAAGTTGCTGAAAATTTCCACACAAATGAGGACATCAAACTTCAACTAGCCTGCGAGCTAGGTTTCTATTTTGGGGGAATCGCGAAAAGTCACGCGAGAGCAGCACGCGTAAGGAGACGCGAGTGCGAGGGGCAGGGTGGGAGGCGCGTTCTCTCTCTAGCAGGTTAAACTTCAACAGCTGTCTTGCGCGCTGTTCATTCTCAAGACAATTTCGTTCGATTGTGGAACCTTGACGCTTTTGCGGTTTACAAGCTTTACTAGTTACTGATACTATATTTTCACTTCCATTCTGACCTAGAAAGGTCTGAAATAGCTTCCAACAGGATCCTGAAGCAGAGAGGGAATTCATGAAAATGACGCGTTCTCACCTAAATATGAATTGCTGGCGCTTGTTTTCCTATTGACCAGCACCCTTCCAAAGCTCTTATTTCACTGGTCCCTATAACCTGCACTACCTATTGTTTTTAGGGATAGGGGCATTGTTATGTCATCATCCCTATTGTTTTCTGGGCCAATCACAAACCTTGTTCTCAGTTTCAGAGCAGAATTAGAATTGGGTAGCAAATGAATTTCACCTCAACAACAACAACAACAATAACAACAAAAGAAATAGTTCTTAAGTCCGCTTGCGTTTAATGGTTGCGTGCAAAGCCAACGGAAAATTGTCCGCTTATAGGTTATGTCGTCGATATTATAAATTGCAAATACAACACAAGTTAATGAAAGAGTTAGGGAACCATATGATATGTAAATTAAACAGCTGAAATTTTCCGAGCTGGTTATTTAAAACCTACTGTTAACTAAATATGATTTTTAGGACGTGTCGAAAATATAAAAAATTTAACCACCTTTAAAGAGACGAAACACTTTGTAACTCTTTCAATAGCGACTGTGAAGCCCTTATGTTAACGCCAAAAAATAAGAAGTCTTTAATTTTGAAACATGAGGGCATTAAGTCTCGACATATTCATCAAAATTAAATGGGCTAAAAGACTAACGAGGAACAGTTTTTTTCTAATATTTCAATCGACCGCTTTTAGTCCCATGCAACTAATAAGCAACATGTCGTTTTGCAGTAAATTTTAATGAACGTGACGTTCTTTTAAAATACAGCATCTGAAACATACACAAGGGTGAAGGATAGTTTTGTCCTTTTTCGCATTTGGCTCGTTCGGATGCAATATAGCCATATAACGGCCTCAATAAAGACAAAAAAAACTTTAAATATGACTTTACTGTCAAAGGCGGGAACAATGGTGGGGCAAGTTTCCTGTGTTTCAGTTGAAGATACTTTAAACAGAACTTCCTGTTTTTAAATTGGCATGAAGCTAACAAAAACACATAACGATTTTACAATTTGTCTTAAAAATAACCAAGAGATTTATTCTGACACTTAGACCAGCAATACTTAATGATCAGTTGATACGTCATTTTGTTAAGGTGAAATGTTTCATAGTGGCCCAGTTAAAAAGGAATTTAGTCAAAGTACTTATCAAATGCTACCCTATTAAAAGTCGTGGGGTTCTAAAAATAAGTCAATCCGCTACGAAGCTCTGGTAGAAGAAGTCCACGAAACTGATTCTACTAAATTCATAAAAGATCAAACTCTTGCATCATCGGACAGGAATTTAACTGGCTTCAGCACAATCTCCAAAAAGGACAACAAATGGATTCCCCGTATCTCCTAGTTTGCCTTTTAAATGCATTTTCATCCTACACCACCACCATGCTAAATATTGTTACAATCCACGCGATTAGAAAAACTCCGTCCTTGTCAAAGAATTTAAAAACATTGCTCCTTAGTCTCGCTGTTTCTGATCTTGGTGTTGGGTTACTTGCTCAGCCAATGTATGTGGTTCACCTTATCTCTATGGACTGGAACGAAAACAATGAAACTAGTAATGCCATCTATATCGCGGTTCTTGTTCCGGCGAATTTAGTTTTTTACGCAACGCTGTTTCTCGCCATTATTCTTTGTGCAGACAGATTCATGGCCATTCATTATTATCTCACATATCAAGAACTTGTGACACACAAGCGAGTTGTTACTGTAGTCGTCTCAACTTGGGTATTAAGCGGACTGTTTTCGTTGACGAGGCTGTGGATCCCAAAGAGTATTATGTACGTGGTTTTTGGCATTACACAACTTGCATGTATTATAGCTGCCACTTTCTTCAGTATCAGAATTTACTTGTCCGTGCGACTTCACGTGAACGAAATACAAGTGCTGCAGCTACAACATGCACCACAGAACGCTCAAATGGTTAACGTTCGAAGGATGCAAAAGTTTGCGATGATGTCAGTTTACGTTTGCCTCGTTTTAACGGTTTGCTATCTGCCAAACATTTGTACACTCTTTGCTATTGCCTTCACTTCTACACCAAGCAATGGCGTAAAGCATTTACAGTTTTACACTGTGACACTGGTCTTCCTTAATTCGTCCCTTAATCCTGTGATCTACTGCTGGAAAATGAAACACATCCGACACACGATCATTGGCTTTATACGAAATGCATTTACGAAGCAAAACTAAAGACAGCTTCAAAACAATCCATTTGGAAATAATAAACAATATGAAAAAACGACAACAACAACAACACGAAACAATAACAAATGTAAAATCGTGTTATGTTAAACTTACATTAAAAAAAGATATAATAGAATAACAATAAAAATGAACAATAGAGATTGTTGTAGTTCTCGTTAGAATCAATGATTTAAAATTTAAAACAATTTGTCTCGGAGTAATAACTTAAGCATTGTAAAGAAACACGAATGTTGTCAAAACTCCGTTTAAAGTATGAAGCATTGCGGTTTACCTCCTCACCCACCCCTACAGATAAATAGGAAAATAAGAAAAGGAACTAAGCAGAATCACACGCACGATCTTATCAAAGCCAGCGAGACGATGAAAACATCCTCGAGATAACAAAAGCTTTAAAACTTCTTTCGTAGACTTATAAACCAAGATGATAGTGATCGAACTAAATATAGTAACGATTACACTCAGTGACTAAGCATCTGCACGAGCAGAACTTAATTTTTTTTTTTTCTTCTCGTGGCTCCTAAAAATGCGTGACGGGGAACTTTACTCAAAAACACAAACACAAGAGAGAAAATGGGTCAGTTTCGAATTAATCAAAATTCATAATTGGCTCCGCGGCTGAAGGGAATAAAACTGGTACAAAAGAGGTATACGAAACCTTTGATTTCACCGAATTCGAATCAGTTATGATTTTATGTTTCTACTTAAGGCTTCCAAAAAAGGGTGGTGTTGATTCGAACCAGAAAGAACCTGCTGTCAGGCGATCTTTTTTCGGAGAACGTCGGCGGACGCCTCCCAAACACAAAGGGAAGAAGGACCGGCTGATCGCAGGCTAAACCAGAATTTGCCAAGATTAAGGTGGAACAGAAGAGAGTCAATGTAGTTTTACAATACCTTGAGGATGCGTTCGATAGATAACAAAAACAAAAACATTAAAACAACTACAAATAACATTTTCTTTTGTTTAATTATGACTTAACTGTAAGAGGCGGGGAAAAATGGTGGACAAGTTTGCCTGTTATTTAAGATAAAGTTTAATTTGTTAAACAAAACTTCCTGTGCCCTAATTGTTTTGAAGGTTAGGAAGACCTACATACAAATTATAAAAATTGCTTATAAAACAAAAAGGACATCTGCAAGAAGACAGCAATGCGCATGCTCTGTCGACAATTTGCTCGGTCGGGTGAACAAACGAGAGCGTAAGCAACGACGACGGCGACGGCAACAAGAACGGCAAGAAAGCAATGGGTTTAGATTGGCATAACAACAACTTTGCACGTAGATCACGCTATCTGTACATTTCTTTGCCGTCACTGCACGACTCCAACGTGCAACTTCCTGTTTTCACGTTTTACTGAGGACGTAAACACAAAAAAGAGATGTCAGATCCATTATTTGTTCACGTTTTTATGACCAAGTCAGAGATGAACACCTTTACTTTCTGCACTAACACCTTTGGGCAGTTTTGTTACATTTCCATCTTAAACTATTTGGTTAAAGAAACAGAGCAGGAGGAAAGCCTTGCAGTAGTTTTCTGAACATTTTGCTTCACAAACTGCGATAAACCGGCCCCACCGAAAATACTGATTGGGCAATTTCTTTTTGCCGGTGATTAACTTTTATTTTGAAACAAAAACTCCCGTTTTCTAATTGCTTGGCAGTTAAGAAAAATACGTCTGACAATTATCCAAACATAGGACATCTGCTTTGCCACACCAGCAATGCCCTATCATCAGTAATCGTATGTTCACAAAAGAGTTCACCGCATCGCAGCTCAGTTAAAGACGCATTTTAGTCAGTCAAACTGCTTTTCACTTACCAAACGTTTTGTAACTCTCTGAACGTTAGTCAATCCGTGACGTGGGTTTGGTCGGATCATCCTGAAAAGCAAACGCTTGCAACGTCCCACAATAATTTGCTTGCTTCAAGCACTGCAACTATCCAAAAAAAGTCAACAAATGGACTACTTGTATCTCACGCTTTGCCTATTCAACGCGTCCTTCTCATACACCGCCACCATGCTGAACATTGCAGCGATCTACGCAATCAGAAAGACTTCGTCTTTGTCAAAAAATTTAAAATCATTGCTGTGGAGTCTGGCAATTTCTGATCTCGGTGTTGGTTTACTAGCTCAGCCAATGTTTGTTGCATATGTTATGGACTCAAAGCAAAACAATGAAACCAATGAAACTTGTAGTGCCATACATATCGCTTGTCTTATCCCAACGAATTTCTTCATCTATGCGTCATTATTTAGCGTCACGGCTCTCTGTGCGGACAGATTTTTGGCAATTCACCTCCACCTCAGATACCGGGAGCTTGTGACTTACAAGCGCCTTGCTACTGTAGTGGTCTCAATTTGGGTGATAAGTGCATTTATTTCACTGATCAGATTACGCCTCCCCAAAAATATCATGTACGTGAGTTTCGCCGTTATTCAATCTGCCTGCATTATAACTGCAACTTCAATGAGCGTCAAGCTTTATCTAACGCTAAGACGCCACATAAACCAAATTCACGTCCAGCAAGTAGCGCAGAATGACCAAGGAGAAAGTGTTCAAAGAAAAAGGAAATCTGCGATGGCATCGCTTTACGTATATCTGGTTTTCATAGTTTGCTGTTTGCCCAATATTTGTGTGTTAATTATTATCGCTACCAATTCCGAACGAAGCAACAGTCTACAGCATTTGCAGTTTTATACGCTGACCCTGCAATTTCTTAATTCAACACTTAATCCACTGATCTACTATTGGAAGATGAAAGACATTCAGCACACTTTTGTAGGCACACTACGCAATCTTTTTTCAAGTCCCACCTAGAGAAAGCTCCACCATAGACTATGACGAACAGAGGACTAAGAAAGCCTTATAAGGTCATCCTTATACGGTCCTTATACGGTCTGTAACTAAATGAAGCTATGCCACTTAAATGCTTTGCGAATTACCCTACATGTAACTTCCATAACACAATCCACGCTGCCATCATTCAGTTTTTAAACGTCCTTATGCAAAGTTTTAGTTAAAAAAAATTCATTACTTTGGTAAAATGAACCTTTAAAAGCGCGATTGACACACTTCGCAGTGTCTTATTGTGCAAGAGTAAGCCAGCTTACGAGCTAAATGACTTATGTGTCTTCTTCACGTACCCTTTTCACTATGTTAAAACCTAACAACGTTTAAATCGTCATGTTGCATAGGTTTTTGTTGAAATTGGCCTTAACTGAGATGATATAGTTATCTCATTATTGCATTTTAAATGTTGGTGACACTAAGCAAAATAACACACTGAAATTTAACGTTAACATATAACAGGTTTCATATGAACCCTTTTCTCACTGAAAAGCGTAAGTGGAATTCATACCCCAATAAAAAATTTAAAACATTTAAAGTGTACGAGATTATTCTTAATAAAAGGTGGGGGAAAGTATGATACACACCTTCCTTGAAACTGTTCACGTTTAGAACCCTTAAGATTTTATGGTTTAACTGTTTTGGTCTCAAAAAACATACATGTGTGTATTGTCAAACCCGTTTTCCTCAGTGGTATTTTGTAATGTTCTGCAGTGTTTTATATTGTTATTTTGATTTCAGTAAGCAACATTTCACCAAGGATAATAATGAAAAGAAAAAGCCACGGCCGTAGAAACGAAACCACCCTTTACCTCCGTCAAAAGAGATACTGAAAATTTCCCCAGAAACGAGAACATCAAACTTCAACTAGCCTGCGAGCAAGCTCTCTATTTTGGGGGAGTCGCGAAAAGTCACGCGACAGCAGCACGCGTAAGGAGACGCGAGTGCGAGGGGCTGGGTGAGAGGCGCGTTCTCTCTCTAGCAGGTTAAACTCCAACAGCTGTCTTGGGCGCTATTCATTCTCAAGACAATTTCGTTCGATTGTGGAACCTTGACGCTTTTGCGGTTTACAAGCTTTACTGGTTACTGATACTATATTTTCACTTCCATTCTGACCTAGAAAGGTCTGAAATAGCTTCCAACAGGATCCTGAAGCAGATAGGGAATTCGTGAAAATAACGCGTTCTCACCTAAATATGAATTGTTGGCGCTAGTTTTCCTATTGACAAGCACCCTTCCAAAGCTCTTATTTCATTGGTCCCTATAACCTGCACTACCTATTGTTTTCAGGGATAGGGGCATTGTTATGTCACCATCCATATTGTTTTCTGAGCCAATCACAAACCTTGCTCCCAGTTTCAGAGCAGAATCAGAATTGAGTGCGAATGAATTTCACCTCAACAACAACAACAACAACGATAACAACAAAAGAAATAGTTCTCAAGTCCGCTTGCGCCTGTTTTACAGTTGGGTGAAAAGCCAACAAAAATTGTCCACTAATAGTTTATGTCGTCGATATTACAAATTTGCAAATACAACACAATTTAATGAAAGAGTTAGAAAACCATATGATACGTAAATTGAACAGCTGAAATTTTTCAAGCTGGTTATTTAAAACCTACTGTTAACTAAATATGATTTTTAAAACGTGTGGAAAATATAAAAAATTTCACCACCTTTAAAGAGACGAAACACTTTGTAACAAGTCCGCTTGCGCCGGTTAAACAGTTGGGAGCAAAGCCAACGAAAATTGTCCACTAATAGTTTATGTCGTCGATATTACAAATTGCAAATACAACACAATTTAATGAAAGAGTTAGGAAACCATATGATATGTAAATTAAACAGCTAAAATTTTCCGAGCTGGTTATTCAAAACCTACTGTTAACTAAATATGATTTTTCGGACGTGTGGAAATATAAAAAATTTCAACACCTTTAAAGAGACGAAACACTTTGTAGCTCTTTCAATAGCGACTGTGAAGCCCTTATGTTAACGCCAAAAACTAGAAGTCTTTAACATAAAGGCATTAAGCCTTAACATATTCATCAAAATTAAATGGGCTAAAAGACTAACGAGGAACAGTTTTTTTCTAAAGTTTCAATCGACCGCTTTTAGTTCCAACTAATTAGAAACATG